ACTGTTTGTTGCACATAAACTTAAATTACACAAAAATGTTTATGTACAAGTCTGTACTGTAATATAGAGCTTAACATCTTGAAACGTTTCGTCAAACTCATCAATTAATCACTCAAATTAACCACTGAACAAATACACACACACACACACATACACACACACGCCCACATACACACACACACATACACACAACACGCACATACACATATACACACGCACACAGACACGCACACATAGACACACACATTCTATCCAGTAGAGATATGTTATTAATGATGGAGGCCCATCACAGAAACACGCGTAACATAACATCATTACTTCAGGTTGACTCAAAGCAGACGAGACACGAAACGTGCCGTATGAAATGAATCCGGACGTACACAAGTGAATACATAATCAAAGATGGCGTTTTTCCTTTTGTGCTACTCTCCGTGTACGCTGTACATTTGTATTGCGTACACATGTGTGCTGCGTGTACAACATCATCATCAGATGTTAATCATCATAGCGAGAAACATATCAGATTACAATTTTAATTTCTGGCTTGATGACGAAGCATATATTTTGACGTTGCGATTTTTTATTATTTCTTTAGAAAGAGTTTTGAGTTGAAACTTTTAATAAAATTTTACAAATAATTTATACAACAAATTACAACATGTAAATAGCAACATGGAAAACTGTTAGTTACAACACATTTACGTAACGCAAAATTTTTTTTTATAAAAATAACAAACTAGTTTTGGAAGACAGTTGACAACAAACACACTACAAAGAAACCATAAAACGAATCAATGCAGACACATTCCCACACAGCAACATTTCACTTACTCTGACTGACTTTGAAGAATTATACTTCCTCTCCTTGTTCATACAACCAATGATTTATGTTCAGCAAACTTCTGACGCAACTTCTTTTATTTAACAATGGCATTTTTATTAAATATAAACCAAATTTAATATAAAAATACTAAAAAAAGTAAAAAAAAACTCTTATTGTAATTATAATATGATTATACGTAAGTAATCTAAGTAGTTTATACGTACCTACATATAATATGTGATTGAGTAAGTATAAAAACACATGCGTTATAGCTAAATTGGCTTTGTCAAGTCTATCGGTTCAGTGAGCTCAGACGGTGAAAGTGACATACCTTCCATTTGTATTGCTCAATAACCCGGTTCAAATACTGTCTATGCTATTGTGAGTAATAGGGTGTTTGAAACTGTTACGAAAAATGTGTGCTTTGAATGAACGTTGTTACAGTTTTAGCTGTAATAATTATGGAAGGATTTGTTGGAATTAACTTTGCATTTGCAGTTGTCTGGAAAAATGTTAGGTAAAGAAAGGATTGAAACATAGTTTAAACTAAAGAATGTGTACGGATTTGTGTAAGTATGTGTGTGTGTGTTTGTGTGTGGTACGCATGTGTGTGTGCGTGTGTGTAATTGAATGTAACTAAACAGGTGAACAACAACTGCGACTTCTGATTCGAAGACAAAGCTGAATAAAGAAAACATTAATGGATGCATACACTTGAATGTTTCAAATGACATGTAGTGTTCAAGTTCACTGCGAGAGTAAAATCGATCAATCATTTCATTCATACAAAATATCAATTGTACAATCCAGTTTTGTATATTTACTTTTGTGGCTTGTATGCTTCAACGTGTTTGACATTTGGGTGTTTTTGTTTAGTTTTTTTAACTTTTACCATTTGGAAATCCCACACCGATTGCTTTGTTAAACGTATCACGACTGCATTTGAAAAAATGTTTATTTATATATTTATATATTTTAATAAAATATAAACTTATATCAATTTTTTTATATTGAACGTTTTAAAATAAAAATGAAATTATTAAGAAGATAGTCTGAAAAAAAGAACAGCCATCAGGTTTTAAAATCGAAAACATATTTTAGTGGATGAATAACTAGATGAATGAACAAACGAACAATAGAACGAACAAAAGAACAAACGAATGAATGAACGAACAGACGAATGAATGAATGAATGAACGTTAAAAAGAGTGCTGAAATTGGGAAAAAACTTTGCAAGGAGATACTGAAAAATTTTGTTTTGAAAGCTGACAGCGTGAAAAATTGCAAGAGTAAAATATTTTAGAATGGGAAAACTTGTAAATAAATAAAAGAATGGATGAATGACTGACTGACTAACTGTATGAATGAATGAATGAATGAATGAATGAATGAATGAATGAATGAATGAATGAATGAAAGAATGAATGAATGAATGAATGAATGGATGGATGGATGGAAGGGTGGATGGATGGATGGATGGATGGATGGATGGATGTATGAATGTATGAATGAATGAATGAATGAATAAATGAATGAATGAATGAATGAATGAATGAATAAATGAATGAATGAATGAACAAACGAACGAACGAAGGAAGGAAGGAAGGGAAGGAAGGAAGGAAGGAAAGAAGGAAGGAAGGAAGGAAAGAAGGAAGGAAGGAAGGAATGAATGAATGAATGAATGAATGAATGAATGAATGAATGAATGAATGAATGAATGAATGAATGAATGAATGAATGAATGAATGAATGAATGAATGAATGAATGAATGAATGAATGAATGAATGAATGAATGAATGAATGAATGAATGAATGAATGAATGAATGAATGAATGAATGAATGAATGAATGAATGAATGAATGAATGAATGAATGAATGAATGAAGGAATGAAGGAATGAATGAATGAATGAGCGAATAAATTAAAAAATGAATAACTTAACAATTAGATGAATGAAGGAATGACTAAAAAAGAACTAAAAAAACATTTTTCTAATTTTTAAGGCCTTGTGGGCTTTGGTGTGTGTGGCAGTTTGATACTGGTAAATTTGCCAAAATTTGAAGTAGAGTGTATAAATGGTTACAAAGTTTTATCACTTAAATCTTGGGTGTACTTAGATGATTTTTTGAACGAAAGACTAGCTTTCCATACCTCTTGTTTGCCTGAAGGCCCTTTCAAACCTTTACACAATTCTGCTATATATATAAAACCAAATGAATTAATTGAGCAACAAATAAACAAAAAATAAAAAGATAACTAAACGAAATTAGACATAACTGAATGACTGAATGAAATCGGGGTAAAAAAAAGCGGGACGTAACATGAATTTATTCTTCCAGGAGTTGTCCACAATCTTCGCAATACTTTTGAGATTAAATAAACGAACAAGACATCTTGTGCTTTTTCAAAAAATTGAACTAGCTTCCATTCCATTGCAAAAGTTTCTATATTTACTCCATAACTCCGTTTCATTAGAATGTACAGACACATGAACGCATGAGCATATAAAGACATGAAGACAAAGGCAAAGGCAAGGACAAAGACACAAAGACAAGCATACAGCCGTATGTTGTTCATACATAACTATTACTATAATTTTTAATTTTATTATTAACGGTAAACTTTGGCCTTGAGGGTGTCAGATGTCACTGCTACAATTACGGTCAGGAAGGTGGAGGACGTTGAAGCTCATTAGTTTCCTACATGAACAGACCTAACATTCAAAATGTTATAACCAAACTTTAAAGTTGACAACGTGTCGCAAGAAGCACAATGAGGAAATTTTTGATTTTTTAGAATATCTATTTAAAAGTAGAAATATTAAACAAATTTAAACATTTTTTAAAAATAGCGCTGAGCAAACATCAAACAGATTAAATTATAAAATATATTTTTTTTGGGGGAGAGGGGTTGAATCCCGAAACCCCCTCCACTTGGATACGCCCAGGATTATTATTATCATAATTATTATTGTTATTAATACTATTATTATTTTCTTGAGTGCAGCTAGCGACAAAAAAATTTTTTTTTGTCTGGAAAGGTTTTAAAAAAATTAAAAAATGCACCAGTGCCATATCCTAAATTAAATTTAACGGCGAAAGCAACACAACATGCATCTCTACAACAATGTACAAGCCAATGTATATGACTGTATATGTTTGTATGGGTTTGTATATAATTGTATGGGTTTGTATATGTTTGCATATTTTTATATGTTTGCACAAGTATGTATATGTTTGCATATATTTGTGTATATTTGTATAGGTTTGAATTTGATTGTATAAGTTTGTATGTGTTTGTACATGTTTGCATATGTTTGTATATGTTTGTATATGTTTGTATATGATTGCATAGGTTTGTTTATATTTGTATATATTTTTCTATATTTGTAAATGTTTGAATATATGTATATATATATATATATATATATTTGTGTATATACAGCGAAAATGCATACGCGTATTGTACACAAATGTACACAGAAACATTAGCACCATTCTGCAAACAAACATTTTGTACAATTGTATAATGTGTATTACATCGCCAATACATTAAGTTTATGAATATCATCTACGCGAGCGTGTGCGTGCGTTCATGTGTATGTTTATGTGTATGTTTATGAGTATATCGATTTATACTTGTACACACACACACACACAAAACACACACACACACACACACACACACACACACACACACACACACATATATATATATATATAATATATATATATATATATATAACTACACTACACATAAAACTACACATAGAAAGAATATACACAAGAAACACAATTCAATAATTCATTTTCATATCTAATCGCACAAAATGATGTGTTTGTATACTTAATACACACGAAATACAAACTTAAGCATATTGCTATTAAGCATACAAACGTACACAATGATTTATTTATTGTACAATATGTTGTGTATACACGGAAGATATCGTATGTATGTATGTATGTATGAACCCTTAATTGATTAGAACTATAAGGAAGTAATCCGGGTTCAGCTTTAATCTATGTTAAACGCTTCGCACTGACAGGTATTTTAACGCTCCATCCAAAATACAGAAAGAATTATATTTTTGAAGTAAAATAGAAAAGGATTTCTTTACATAACTCTTATCTAATGGGCCACCCGAAACTTCTACAATCCTGCTACAGAGTTCATTCAG